CTTCTCCTCCTTCCCCTCCCCTCGGAGGCCCCCTGAGTCAGGAGTTGTTGCCTCGGGAAGGGAAAGGCAAAAAGGAAGAGCCGCGGCGGTGCTTTGCAACGGGAGCAGCGGCACCGGAGGCTCAGGCTCAGCGGCTCCTGTTTTTGACTTTTCCTTCCCAAGTCAACGTGGGACTGGAGCCGCACGGAGCTGCGCTGGCAGTAGCAACTCCTGACAGCCCCAGCCGGACACCTGAGCGGAGCCCGGGCGAAACTGCCTGTTGCTGCTGCCGGAGCACCGCTGGGTCACCTCCTCCAAGCAGCCCGCCCGCCGGGCTTCAAATCTGCCGCGCGGCTCGGGGCCAGGCGCGAGCGCCTGCGAGTTAAAACGAAGCAGAAAGTTGCTGGGAAGTTGCTCAGGTGCTGGGAGCAGGCTTTTAAAGTGCCGCCCGAGCAGGACCGCCGAGCCGGGAAACGGGGCACCAAGGCAGGGCAAGGCTCCACCAGCAGCAGCCTAGCTTTAGGTGGCTCCAAGCAGCCCGCCCCGCCCGCCGGGTGGAACCCTTCCCGCTCCTTGGCGGGAAGACGCTCCAGCCTGCAAGCTTTGCCTTTGCAAAGTTTAAGCCTGGAAGCCCCGGAAAAAAAAGGGGGATCGGCAGGGACTCACCTTCAGAGAGGTCGCACTCGAAGGTGATTTCGAACTCCCAGCCGAGGTCTTTGCAAATTTCTTTTCTTTCCTACCCCTAGATCACTCCGCACTGTTTTGCAGCTTTGGGGGCCACGCGGCACAGGGCAATATGCCACGCCCAGCGATTTTTTTTCAGGGGCGGGCCGCATTGGACAGATCAATGGCAGTGATTTTTTTTCAGGGGCGGGCCGCATTGGACAGACCAACGGGCCGGATGTGGCCCCCGGGCCGTAGTTTGCCCACCCCTGTTCTAATACATAGTGACCTACTCAAAATGAATTGCTAGTGTGTTCAATGGGCTCTTTTCTTCCATCAATATGAAAAATATGGCTGAAACAAATTTAAATAAATACATAAATGAAAATAACATCGTTTAAATAAGATTATAATTTTAGTTGTCAGGCAAGCATATCCATGTTGTGTAAAAATTTAGGATTAAATCAGTGGCTTTCTAGATTTCTTCGGTGAACTTGCTCAAGTATATGACATTTGTATCCTGCCTTTTCATGAACAAATTCTGATAGATTTTGATGCTTCTGTTTTTAACATTGATCTTGAATAAAAAACATGTGGGTTTCCCCCCCCCCCCCATCTTTGATCATGATAATAAAGGTAATGCCTGTATTACCCCAGTCCCTTGTTTCTAATAAAGATTGCCCAATATACTTTTTAGATATATTGGGCAATTGTTTGTGCTTCCTTACACAAAAACTTATTCCCTACATAAGCAATTACAAAAGCAGAAATAAATAGTGCCCCCGGTTTTTTTCCCCCCATGGTAAAATAAGTTATGAACTCTGGCCCTTCTGCTTTTTGGGGGCGGGGGCGGCGGGGGAGAGAAACCTGGATTTTATCAAGTCCGTCCCCCTGCTTCTCTCCTGCAGTCAAAACAAAAGAAAGACCGAGGCGAGGGCGTCGAATTTCACTTCCTGTCACCTGGCAGGAGTCCTTTGTCTGTTAGTGAATGCGATTTAAGGGCAGGACAGAGCCACCGGCCGGGCAGCGAATCAAGAGTTAAGTGGAGATTGACTCGGAAAGGGCGCCACCCTCTTTGACGGTAGAGTAAGTAGCCTGTGAGTCAGTTTCACCTGAAACTCTACAGGTGAGGAAAGGAAGCAAAACGAAGTGGGGGAAAAAAAGGAAAAGGAACCGGAGCCAAGATCCGGAAAGAAGAGGGCCCAAGGCTCAGAGCGAGAGAGCCGCCCCGCTACATCGTAGGGGCTACCCTGAGAGCTTCGGGGTTGAGGCGGCGGGATTCCCAGCCTCCGACCGTCTGCAAACAGGGGCGAGGGGTGCCTGCCGGACGTGTGTGTGGGGGGCAAGAGAGCCTTGAGGGCGGCGATCTCGCCCCGAAGAAGAGGAACTTGGGGGAAGAGAGTCCTTTCTCTCAGAAGCGCCCGAGTGCCACGCGGGGACCCCACTGGATAAAAGGACCGTCGGAAGGGAGGGAGGTGAAGGCTCCTGAGCGTCCGGAGCCTTTTCTCACCTCTCTGCTCGGCGGTCGTGGGCGAGTCTGCCCCCACCCCGCAAGCCTTTGGAAAAGCCCCCGGCCCGGGGAACTGCGCCATTTGGCTCGTTTGGGCTGAGATGGGCCGAAGTAGGAGCCGGCTTCAGGCCGGACTTTTGGTGACTTGGTTTTTTTTAGCCGGCCTGGTTCTTGGTCAGGAACAAAATGGGGAAGGAGCCTCGTTTGGAGAAACGTGTCTTGCCCAGTTTACGGCCGGGTTTCCGGAGTTTGTGCTGGACACGAATGCCTCGGTGGAGAACGGCGCCACTTTCCTGGCTTCGCCGCCGGTGGAAAGCAACCGCGATTGCGTCCTTGCCTGTTGCAAGAACCCCGATTGCAACTTGGCCCTGGTGGAGCAGAGCCCCGGGGAGGAGGACCCCGACGGCATTCAGAGCTGTTTCCTTCTCAACTGCCTTTACGACCAGGCCCTGGTCTGCAGGTTTGCCAAGAAGGACGGCTTCCTGAACTATGTCAGACGGGAGGTTTACAACGCTTACGCGACCATGCGAAACCTAGGCAACCGCGGTAAGGAGACCAGAGCCCCGCTTCTCTCAGCCAAGGGTGCCCATCCCGGGTTGGAATCGAGAGAAGCTGCTGTCTTCCCTCTCGGTCCTGCAGTTATGCCCGGTCCGATCTGGTTGGTTTTGCTTTGACCTGGTCTGTCGTGTGACTATGAACCTGGCAGCTTCTGGCTTAGGACAGCAGGCCGCCTCAAGATATTAAGGCCCCAAAGGGCCTTGTCAGTGTTGGTGGTTCAGGGCACCATTGTTGACCATGATTGCTGAAAAATGCTAGGGCACTTTCACACCTTTTCCATTTGAAAACGTGAAAACGAAAGTATAAGACTAAGACCATAAGCATTTTTCATTTTTAAAAAATAAATACTTGCCCTGATCAGTATCTCTAACAAGCAATGTCCAAATGGCAATAGATGGGTCATAATGTCATTGAGAAAAGGATAAAATTTAATACTTGCCTCTGAACGTCAGACACAAATATGTAAATTCTATCATTTGTGTCAAGATTCCTATATCATTATAAGCCATGGTTAAAGTTTGTCCTCAAATCAAACTTCATTTACATGTATGAATAAACTGAACTGGTCTTTAGGGACCCCAAACTATGGACATCTCTTGGTTATTTGGCATAATGTGGTGGACATCAGCTAACACTTGTCTTGATGATAGAATAATTGATCATTGGCATAGTGTAACCACCAGTGGTGGGATTCACATTTTTTTACTACTGGTTCTGTGGGTGAGGCTTGGTGGGTGTGGCAGGGGAAGGATACTGTAAAATCTCCAGTCAGAGGTGGTATTTGCTAGTTCTCCGAACTACTCAAAATTTCCGCTATCAGTTCTCCAGAACTGGTCAGAATCTACTGAATATCACCTCTGGTGACCCCAGCCCCAAAGTTTCTAAACTGTGCATAAGGACATCACAGTGAACTCACAGGGGTGTCACAGGATATTTTACTACATAATAAATGGAACTGTGTTCTAGGTGCCATGACAATTTGGGAACTGCAAGAGATGCCATTAACCAAGAAAGTTCAGGAAACCTGTACCCCAGCTGTTGGTACGGTACATGGAAGTACAAGGTTGCCAACCACATGTAGCTTTGGCATGATTATTTGACCATTTGGCATTAAGGCAACAACGGTATAAAGGTGAGGGTGTTATTGAAACAATGCGAATCAGAAACAAAGGTGAAATGAGTAAACTATGGTACAGTTAAATATGAGTAAGGATATTTTGTGAGCATGGTGCCTAAAATGGTGTTGGATGCAATTAAATGGTGGTATGTAATGAGAGTTCCTTTCTATCTCTAGAGTACAACACAGGATACTTATGATACCAGCTGTTGGGTGAGATGATAGCAAAATGCCTTGTTCCAGTTTGACATTGGAGTTTTTCATTGACTATCATGAAAAACAGATGGTCTTCTAATCGCTACATAGAGTGATAGGTTGCAGTAGATGTAATTAAATGTCTATGGCGATTCTTAGCCATCCAGGTCATGATTGTCCCAAAGATGCTTTTTCAAAAGGCAGCTGGAGTTACAAACAAACAAACAAACAAAAATCCTAAAGTCCAGTTGCCTTTTGAAAAACCATTTTGGGATGCTAATTAAATGCTTTCTAATTCTTTAAAAAGACAAGTTAATGTAGTAATAGGTTGATATGCCACAGTGAATTAAACCTAATGAGTAATCCTATTTTTGTGTGACAGGTACTAGAGGCAAACTTTAGGGAATGTTATTTCCTTTTGGATTTTGATCATGAACATTAAAAGCCTCTCTTTGATCCTGTTGGAAGCAGAAAATTAACCTGGTGGACTTTGATCTAATGAAGAAAAGAAATTATTGTCAGAAATTGATTTGGGTGGGGACATCATTTGTAGGCTAGCACTGAATCTCTTTTCCTTGCAAAAGGACAATGATGCAAGAATGTCCACATTTGTTTCACTTAGGATACAAACCACTCCTTTCTATTTATAGATGTTATTTGCAGGGAGAAAACTGGATTTCTAAAAGGTGTGGTATATCTGAAGAATACTAAGTTTTAAAAGACTGGTAAAAATCCATTCTAAATCCCCATTTGGATTTCTGCAGAGAAGAATGAACAATAACAAAATGGTGGTTATGATCTGGGCAATTGAAGTTTGCCCCTTTTCTGTGTACAATGCATACAACATAGGTTAAAACAAGATGGGTCTTTGATCTCCCGGTTATACCTGCTATTTCAATGTTATTTACCATTCCCAATACCCCTGTGATTCTGTTTGACCTGAAGACATCTGCAAGGAAGGAACATACTATGGTACAGAACAAACCTATTATTTTAGCAAATGGTTCTAAACAGAATCATTTGGTATAGTGGTTAAAGTGTTGGCCTAGAACCCAGGAGATTGTGAATTCTAGGCTTCCTTAGTCATGAAAGCTGGCTGGTTGGTTTTGGACCAGTCACTCTCAGTCCAACTCAACTCACAAGAGTTGTAGGAAAAATAGAAACTAGGAATATTAGGTATATTCACTGCAGATAGATGTGAAAATCTAATAATAATGAAATATTTTCTGCATATCTGAATCTTTGCTTCAGCCATCCTATGATTTTTACATTATTACAGTATTGTTCTGTAGCGGTATGCTTCAATTTTAGGGATGTTCTTTCTCTCTTATAAATGCTACATACCATACTGTATTGAGACTGTTAGCTAGGTGGTGGCCCGAACCAGGGGTGTTTGCCTCCTTTCTTTTTGTTCAGATTTTGAATATTTTAGTGTCTTTTGGTTGCTGTTTAGTCCGTTTCATAAGTGATACAGTTTGTGTGCATAATTGATCCCATAAAATAATAAACGTGCACACCTGCAACAGATTACATTTGTTCTCTTGCATGCTTTTGAATAATTGCTGATCTTGTAAGTGTTCTTAAAAACTGTCACAAAGTTAACACCAAGTTGGTCACTCTAGTCATGTCAGCATTAAAAATCAAGTTGAACTTGTATTGAGGCCAGTGCTCTAGGAGATTGCGATAGATAATTAGGCATAGGAAAATACCTTTGCACAACACAAGTAATGTATCTGATTGCAGTCATGTTATGGAAATAGAAAATAGTATGCTTCTGTTAATTTTGAGCTGAACTCTTTATGCTTGTGATAGCTTTCTATTATTTCATTTTTTTTTAAAAAAAAGCACCCCAGCAGCTAATTGCTGAGTGAGAATATTCTCCCTACAAAAAGGCATAATTAAACTATCATAATGAATGATATTTGACCTTGATCAGTACTGTAGCCCTCCAGAATTACAACTACCAGCCTGAAGTTGCTGTAAATTGGGGTTCTTCCAACAATTTTGTACTAAGCACTAAATTGCTAGATCTGGTAAAATTGAAATTACATTTATTTGTAGACTTAATATTCAAGTCTTTCTGAAAATGGTAGCATTTTTGAGGAACATCCATCAAACTTCTGTTTTCTTCACATTTAAATGTGCACATTTTAATGTAAGTTTTCACCTTTCAATATTAGCTATTTGAAAATTTCTAGAGGATTAAAAAATGTGAAATGCAAATGCAATTTCTACACACAACATAATATGTAAAAAAACAGATTTGGTAATTGTTAAACCATATAAACTATATAAACTTACCATTGAATGTCATAATAATGGTATTTGTTATATTCAGTCAACAAAATTTCCATAAAATCTCCATTGCTACTTAGTCAACCTTAAAATTAACATTTAGATGTACTTTCTCCTATTGTAAATAATTTCATTATTACCTACCTGTAAGTAAGCTGCTCTAGTTTTATTATAACATTATAACTGGCCAGGCATTTTTTTTATTTTTTTGTTTTCTACACTTTAGCCCAGGAATGATGTGCTTATAGATAATTGTCTTTATACTTTTCTCTGTAACCAAATCAATTTAATATCTAATTTATTAATGGGGAACACCTGTCCAGTTAGGTAAGAAAGATGTTTGGGTAAAGAACTATGATGCATATGACTTTCCCTTTGTTTTAAGGCAGGGGTGTCAAACTTACATTACGACGGCGTCACATGACATATTGGGACTTTTTCTCCCTTCGCTAAACCGGGCATGGGCGTAGCCAGTGCGTGACGCATCCGGCCCATGGGCCGGGAGTTTGACAGCCCTGTTTTAAGATAATGTTCTTGCTTCATATGAATCTGTCTACATATACAAAGATCATACATAATGTGAGGCATGGTCCCCAGTTTGGGGGCACCTAGATGAAATAATGTTATTCCTAGGGTGATCTGCTTGATGCCTGCTTCCCATTTTTTTATCAGTTTCTAGGCAGGCCATGAATTTATGTCTGCATCAGTTTTCAATTTGTTGATGTTTTTTGCTCTGTATTTAGAAACTGAAATACTTTGACCACCTAATGAGAAGGAAGGACTCACTGGAGAAGAGCCTAATGCTGGGAAAGACTAAGGGCAATAGAAGAAGGGGATGATAGAGAATGAGGTGGCTGGATGGAGTCAATGAAGCAGTAGGCCTGAGCTTAAATGGACTCTGGAGGATGGTATAGGACAGGAAGGCCTAGAGCAGTGGTTCCCAAACTTTTTCAGTCCACCGCGCCCTTGGTGATACAAACTCATCCTCAGTGCCCCCCACCCAAGCGTGGTATTCAAATTTCTTAACAACTGGTTTTGTGGGCATGGCCTAATTTGTGGGCATGCTTTGGTGGTCATGTGACTGGCTGGGCGTGGCTTGGTGGTCACGTGACCGGATGGGCATGGTTTGGTGATCATGTGATTGGGTGGGCGTGGCCCTGTGACTGGCAAACCAAATATAAGTGGTCCTCGCTTAATGGCCAGTTGCTTAGTAAGTGTTCTAATTTATGATTGGGTCAGGAGGTGGGGAATAATGAGAAAGTTGGTGGTTTGTTTAAGCAGGATAAACGAGAGCATCATGAGTTCATTTGTGGGAGACAGAGTTAACAAAACCTCTGAGCAATAAGGTGATTTCATTTACCTGGTTGAGATCTTAGCACGA